TGGCTGTGACCCAGCCCCTCTCCTCTCTGCCCCTCTCTGCAGTTCTATGACCTGTGCGAGCTGTTCAGGACTGGAGGTCAGGTCCCTGACACAAACTATATCTTCATGGTACGTTCAGCCTTCACCCGCGACTCGGGGGATAGTTTAAAAAAAAAGGTTAAAACTGAAATCCTGAAACGCTTGTTCACTTTTACACCTTGCTTGTAAGTGCCGTGCTTGCTGTTTGGCTGCTGTGTACGGGCTTCACTTCGCTGAGTAAAATATGAATTACGTAGCGCAAGCGATGCAGAAAGAGAAGAGCGTAACGCGCGTCAAACAGAAAGTTGTACTTGGTGTTGTAGTCAACAGTCTGAGCGTCTGTCCGGTTACGCGTCAGGGTAGCTTTAGATGCACGTAATGACTTAAAACTCCAAACAACCAAAGAACTTGTTTTCGTAGAGCGTGGATGCCAGGCTTTCTTTCAGCGTTAGATTTCCTTATGCACTGAGAAATTAAGAATGGATCTATCGCTTTGCTTTTGAATGTGACTGTTTCTCCATTTATGAATTTTCTTTGACTTGCAGGGTGACTTTGTAGATAGAGGTTATTATAGTCTTGAGACTTTCACTTACCTTCTTGCACTAAAAGCTAAATGGCCTGATCGTATCACACTGTTACGAGGCAATCATGAAAGCAGGCAGATAACTCAAGTGTATGGATTTTATGGTAAGTCTTTATCCAAATGATTTCTGAATGATGGCTAATGTAATAAACAACTACCTTATCTTTCCCCTTGGACATCTGATTTTTGAATGCAGCACTACTTGTGGCTCTCCTAGAACCAGGTGGGAAACGGGCATAGTAAAACTGGAATGTTATAATTTGTTAACGTGATCCTTGCATTCATGAAGCGGAGCATGTTTTAGTCCAGTGGTTCGCTGTTGGACTTCTTGTGCCTAAAGTCAAAACCTAATCTGACAAAGTTCTAGCTTGCTTTTTTTCCCTCCAGCACCTGTATGTTCTTGTTTGGTTTTAGTACCCTATTTGATTTTTAGAGACAGAGAAAGATAATATATTTGTACAGAAAGTGCTTTCATATCTTTTAATGAAAAGTTCCAGGAGAAATCGTAATGTTGCTGTAATTCCTTTTGGGCTTCGCTATAGCTGAGAAACAACACAATGTGTAGAGTTTGCTATGGAAGCTATTTATTGTCAGCAACAGGCATGGGGGAAAATGCCACTGACTAGAAAGAAGCAGTAGGGCGACTGTTCCAAAAACCAACACCATTAAATTGCTTGGAAAGTTTTAGTTGTGTGAGGAAATCCTGCAAAATAAACCTGATAACACCTGAGGAAATTCGGCAGAATAACTTACACCTGCCACAGGGAACATGTAGACTGTAATATGCATTTTCTGGGATAATGTGGCAACAAGAACAAATAGAAGTGTTGACAAATGGCTTAAGGCTCCAAAGAAATACTTTTCTGCCAGGGCTATACAGTCCAGAATTGCTTACATCCAGTTTATAGCTACACGAATGTGGCATTAATTCACCATTGCCAAATTACTTTTTTTTTTTGATTTCTTTCTGGTTTTATGAGAAATGGGAATAATTTGGTCTTGTTTTGCTTTCTAACTAAGCAAAGCTACTGTAAGTCTTATTTGTAGTCAGGAAAACTAAGTAGCCCAGATAGTTTCACAATTTTTGCCTTAAATCTCCAGTGTAAAATTCTGTAATACAAACATTGAGCTGGTCTGGAATGTCCCAGCCAGCTACTTGCAGGGAGCAGAGAAAACATCATAAGTCGTGTTGTGTGAGATCCTGTTTTCGCTCCAGCACCCCCTGTATTGCTCAAGGGAGTGAAGAATGTTAGCTATCTGAGTGTGCTTCCTACTAGTGGACCTAGGTGACAATAAGACAGACAGCTTCCCGCTGAGCATTTACTGGTGCTCCTGATAATGCTTTTTATTACACACTTGACTTTTCAAGTTCTGCTGTAAGTATTTGCCTCTGTTCTTATTATTTGAATTTCTTCTGATCCATTAAGAAGAAAAAAATTCTCTATTTAACAGATGAGTGCCAAACCAAATATGGAAATGCTAATGCTTGGAGATACTGTACCAAAGTCTTTGACATGCTCACAATAGCAGCTGTAAGTGTAAACGCTATATTTAAAAAGAATCTAAGTAGATTGTCTAAATGTGACCTCTTGAATTAGCGGCCTTTAAGGGTCACGCTGGTAGAGTTCTGAGTTGGATTGAAGTGCTGTGCGTTTGACACGCGTGCCTTTTTTCTCCAGTTAATAGATGAGCAGATTCTCTGTGTGCATGGTGGCCTGTCTCCAGACATCAAGACACTCGATCAAATTCGAACCATTGAACGTAATCAAGAAATTCCGCATAAAGGAGCCTTTTGTGACCTTGTCTGGTCTGATCCGGAAGATGTAGATACTTGGGCGATTAGTCCACGGGGAGCAGGCTGGCTGTTTGGTGCAAAGGTGACAAATGAGGTAATGATGCTATTGCACGCAGCATAAAGTAATTGTAGTTATGAGATAAATTAAGACGTTTAACTACAAGTTTGGTGTTTATCCTAGTGCTTAACAGATTGAGGACTGTGTGAGATGACTAACTTTCCTGCTAAGATAGCTCTGAGTAAGCTGTGTGCTGATGAAGAAGGTGCTTTTGCTTTATTGTTGCTCATTCAAACCAACTCGAAAAAATTGAGCCGTTTGAACTTTAAAAAAACAAAACAAAACAAAACCCTGCCAGATGAGATGATACTGATCTTGCGTTTTAAAAGTAGAATGCAGTGAGTGGGGGGGGTTGGACTTGCATGATCTTTAAAGGTCCCTTCCAAACTCAACCCTTCTCTGAGACTAACTAATTTTATTAGGCTTTGTGCAGAAATACCTCCCTAGAGATTTAGGAGAAAAAACACCACTGGAACATTTTTTTCCTAAAAATTCCTGACTTAATTTTTGTTACTTTTAGCGAAACAGTAAGCAGACTTCCCTAGGCTAAAATTTGTTGACCTTCTGAGGCTTCTGAACGAGCTGCGTTAGGAAAGCCTGATTCAGGGTATTCGTTGTCCTTTGTGGTCTTACTGCAGCATGTTCAGGAAAGTGTGAACGTTGTGGACACAACGCAGGCTTAGCCATCTCATCGGCGACTGGGTGTTTTTCAGTATGTTTTGAAAAGACGGGTCCCTTCATGGCACCATTAGCTTTAATAACACATTTAGATGACAGTGATGTGGCTAGGTCAACGTGACTGGCCGCGCTTCTGTGAAAACAAGGGGCTACTTCAGTTTGGTTCCTCTCAGAGATGTTGAAGCGGGAGCCTTGAAGTATCTTCTGTGCAGCTGAAACCTGGCAGGATTCTGGCAGAAAGCTTTTGGGGCAGGTTTGGGAGCAAACCTGTTGACCAGCTGCGATACGGGGTCTCGGGAGGGTGTTCTAAATGGGGAAGGCTGTTGTGTGGGTGATGATGTGCAGCTCTTCAGAGAGAATATTTACACGCCTTTTTTTTTTTTTTCCCCTCCTTTAAATTACAGTTTGTTCATATCAACAACTTAAAACTCATCTGCAGAGCACATCAGCTAGTGCACGAAGGCTATAAATTCATGTTTGATGAGAAATTGGTAACGGTATGGTCTGCACCAAATTACTGCTACCGTTGTGGAAATATTGCGTCAATCATGGTCTTTAAAGATGTAAATACAAGAGAACCAAAGCTATTCCGTGCAGTTCCAGATTCAGAACGTGTAATTCCTCCTAGAACAACTACACCCTATTTCCTTTGAGACCTTCCCCAGCCTGCCATTTCCCTGCTCCCTTGTAACTATCCCTTTACAATATACTTTTTATTGAGCACTTTGCTGCTGAAATGCTGCCTCTTGCCTTTTTTTATGTTTAAATTATCTAAATTTATTGTGTATTATGGTGTCTGTAGCAAGTTCCTTTTTCCTACCCTAGATTCATTTCAGAATATTTGTAATATGTCCTTGACATTTATACTACTGCATGTAGTTCTTACGTACTTCTGGGTTTAGATGAAACGTTTTCCTTTTAAAATCATAATACATTGGAACCAGGTCAGTCCTGTTGCATTACTCAGCTTTTTGTTTCGTAAGTTTTAAGAAATTTCAGCAGCAAAGTTACTATCCAGTGTGCACGATGGGGCTGCAAACGCGTTGTGTTGTGTGCACGTCCGAGACGTAGAACTGAATCGTCCTTGCTATATCTTGTTTTAAGTGGATACAAAATAAAGTGGTCGAAAGGGCTGCAAAGGGCCTCCCCCCCCCCCCCCTTTTTTTTTTTTAGGACTTCATTTAAAAATACACCAAGATCTGCTACAGCGATGGAATTTGTACATTAAAATAATTGTTCTGATTTTTTTCAGATACCTTGTATTTTTAATAAAGTCGTATCTTAAATGAAATCCACCTCTAGGTTAAATAGTGCCGATACAAGCCCCGCGTTGTGGCCGAGAGGGGGCGGCGGGCGGGCCCGGGCCGCGGTTCCGGTTCCGGTTCCGGCGGGAGCGGGTTGGGGTTCCGGTTCCGGTTCCGGCGGGG